TATAAGTAATACTAATAATTACTGTATTAATCAACTAATTAATAATTACTTGTCGTATAAGTAAATTAATTGCTTCGTAACACTACAGGTAACATAATCAATGAAATTCGTCTCTATATTGAACACAAAATTAGTAAAACATTCAAACTTTACATCCCTTTATTAAAAAAAAAAAGAAGAAAAAGAAAAAGGAAGGAAAACTGCTACAAATTTTGAATATTCATCTTCGAAGTTCCAGTTAAATTTCTCATCAGACGATTCTGGTTGAATTGAAATTACTGTAGGGCAGTTTCCTCCTAAAATTCCATTTTTTCAAATGCCCACCGATATTTGTTGTATAAGTAAACTAATAATTACTTACTGTATTAATCAACTAATTAATAATTACTTGTCGTATAAGTAAATTAATTGCTTCGTAACACTACAGATAACATAATCAATGAAATTCGTCTCTATATTGAACACAAAATTAGTAAAACATTCAAATTTTACGAATATTTTACATCCTTTTGTTAAAAAAAAAAAGAAAAAGAAAAAGGAAGGAAAACTGCTACAAATTTTGAATATTCATCTTCGAAGTTCCAGTTAAATTCTCATCAGACGATTCTGGTTGAATTGAAATTACTGTAGGGCAGTTTCCTCCTAAAATTCCATTTCTTCAAATGCCCACCGATATTTGTTGTATAAGTAAACTAATAATTACTTACTGTATTAATCAACTAATTAATAATTACTTGTCGTATAAGTAAATTAATTGCTTCGTAACACTACAGATAACATAATCAATGAAATTCGTTTCTATATTGAACACAAAATTAGTAGAACATGCGCTTCGTTTCATCTCCTCTGTCGCCATTGGTTCGAAGGATCTTGTTCATGGACATCCTGCGCGATACAAAGGCCAGAGACAAGCGTTTCGGCTTTCACCACCTTTTGCTACCGATGGCCACGGTATTTTTTCGAAGTATACATACATGATGTAGCCATCATGCGCTACGTCTCATCAGCGGAAATTACGATTCGTCGTGTCGGGTGATACAAGAAGCGACATTGTTCGCGAGGTTTAGTTTGGATTGCTTCATCGGTCCTCGGGACCTCGACCATTCGAGATCGGCGCACAGAAGCCTTTCAATTGTCGGTTGAATAATTCACGCGACACAATTAAGCAATCCTTCGTACGCTTATTACAGCGCGTAAATGAAGGCAGGACTATTGGCTCCTCGACTGTCTGAGAGTTCCATCGTTCGACAATTGTGAGAGTATAGTACATCTACATACATATAGGCAAAGCCGGAACGACTTCGAGTCGACTTCGATGACGCAACTGGCGCCATGGCGCCAGATTTTTCAACGTGCCCCCGTTTCTTCGCAAGCTGGTCCATCTCGCATTGCACCGACATTGTCAAATCGGCAAGGCCGCTCTGTTCTGTTGGCGCCTAACCCAGACCTTCGCGAGATAAGTTGAAACTCGATCCTCTTTATCGATAGATACGCGAACGTATTTATGATTCGAGGGACAAATTTAAAAAAAAAAAAAAAAGAGGAGCCGAGAAGGAGAAGACGGACGATGACTTTTTGAAGAAACTCAGAGAAATTCAGAGAATCATAAACCATAAAATACATACGACAAGACGTGTGAGATGGAAGATGAACGGCAGGATAAGGTTGAAATAATGATTCTTCTACGAGAGGTAGTAATTTCCACGAAGGAGATACGGAAACGATTACAAGAGGGGTAACAATTACAAAAGATTATTAAATTGCATGCTTTCTGCGGCGAGAATGAAGCGTATAACATTCCGGAAACGTGTGTGTCACACTCGTGTGTCGTTATATTTCGACATTAGACGCGTCGTGCGCCTTCTGCGGAACAAAACAAAGTTTATTCCCACCCTTGAAGCCCCAACTGTTTCGTAAGTTTTCCATCGCGAGTAACTGGCCATCGCGCGTCTGTCCTTCGCTCGTTAAGAATCCTTCCTGCTCATTCAACGATAAACCTGCCATTTCGCGGATCGTACAGTGTAAAATCCAACATCGTCTGTATCATGTCTGTCTCTCGTTTCAAAAAGAAAAATTGTGCGATCTCAAGAGCAAGTTTCAATTCGAGAAAGGGTTCCTTTACTCGAAAACGACGCGTGTTCGCGTTCGTCCTGTCAAAGAGATCAACATCGAAAGTGTGCTACATCGTGAAACCAGCTAATTTATTTGCCAGGAAATTTGTTTGCCACGGAATGAAATGAAAACGAAAGGACCCCGTCCGTGGGGCAAGCAAGCGAGCAAGCAGGATCAACGCGAGCGTGTCGAAACATGGTCCACCTACAACAAGAGTTAATCATGTCAAGGACCCATTCAGCCTTCTCTCTGCCTCGCATAATCTTGTTATAATACCCTCTTAACCCTGCGCGAGCGCGTCAGTAAATCAATTTTATTCTCGGTCTCGATTATCCGGTTTCGATGATAATGAGTTTAAAGGAATTTGGACGCGTGCCAACGCGTGTTGTTTCGAAACGCAATTGAGAATCCAAGCAACGAATATTTCGTCTTCTTCGAATTGGCTTTCCTCTCTTTCTCTCCGAAGAAAGTAAATTCTATCGAAAAATTGGAGATCCTAATATTTTATTTCTCTTTTGTTTCATCGGCAAACGTCGACGAGCTTGCTTCGCGCGTAGATTATTGAACTTATAGTCGGAAACAGATTTTTCTGTCGTTCCTATGCGTTCAGTTTTCTCAGAAAACTGTTACCCATCTCTTTAATAACAAGACAATCGAGCTGTTCCTAGGATCGATATTTAGATCATTCTCCGTGATCCAAGCTCGCGGAACAATGGTAACAATGAAACGTCAACGTCGTAATAAGGCAGAAATAATTGATGACACGAATCTTTGTAACATTGCGCTATGCATCTGCAATGTCTTTAAATTTTCAATCTTCACTACCCGATTAGGTGTTCCGATTGATCTCCGTCGATCGTTTATTCTCAGGTCTTCAAAGTCGACGACGTTTTTTCTCACAGTCAGACCGCCTCGGTGAATCATCCGCGTCTCGGAAGAGGAACGAATCCAATTCGAATCGAAGCAATTAGCTCCGTTCTAGTTCTACCTGCTGGTTTAATTACTGGCTTCTAACGAATATAATCCAAAGGCATTCGCAACTAACGAACATAATCAATATTCCAAACAACACTTTGTTCCCTCGCAAGCTCGATCGTCACTCCAAGGAACTCGCTCCGCTTTCAAACAATCGGTCTCCACTCCAAACGATCAAAGTTTCTCGCTTCAAATCGGCTTCAAACCCGAGGTTCGCCGATACCATCGAGCGCCGACAGACTTTTCTCAATCCGCTATACAGGCGAATAAAGTCTCAATGAACTCCATGTAATCGCATTATCGTTGTTGAGATATAAAGTTCGAGATATCGATCGAGTTTTTGACGAACGCCTGCAAATTCCAGTGTGACGACTTGCAAAGACTATTCTTCGAGCGATTGATTCATCGCCGGTGTCTCGATCTTCATTTTTGTTTTTTTTTTTTTTTTTTATTTTATCCGCCACATCCGGGCCACGATCGTTTCGTGACTCTCGAGCAGATCGTGGAGGCAAAAGTGCCCTAATTTCTTCAAACCTTCAAACTGACACTGCGATCGATCGAATTAGACGAAGCGTGCTCGATGTCGGCGTTGCTTTTACAGGTCGGGGAAAAGTATCACGTCGAACGTGCGTTTAGAATGTATTGCTAACATGGTTAACACGTTTATCGCGTTGAAGTTTAGTTTGGAGGTTCTTTGAGGGAAGTTTAAATATTTCTTTATCTGTCGTTTCGCAAAATTGCGTTTTTTTGACAAGCTTCGCGCGTTCAGAGATAAGTGAAATGTTCCTGGAATTACTATCTCGAGAGTTGGAATCGAAACGACAGGATTAATCGAGAGATATAAAGTCTAATTTAGAACACGAACGACAAATTGTTTTTTTCCAGCGCGCGCGATGATAAAACTGAGCGACACTGCTATTTTTTAAATCACTTGGTGCGTAATGTTAACATTAGTTGTGCGATTAGATAAAGCAAGATACTTCGATACTCAGATACGTTAAGTGCAAGTTCGATATTAAGTCCGATAGAAATACATGTTGCAATACACGAATCGTTGACGTCGAGGCAATTGATAACTCGACACGACGTCATCAGCAGAGATAAATTAATTGATCCAGGCAGTAAAATTTCGTAAAATTAGAATCGAGTTCCTCCAGATATTTTCCACGAATCCATCCGTCAATTGCCAATATTTATTCCGTATGAATTTAATGAACAGACATAAAAAAAAGCATTTATTTCGAGACACTATGAACTTACTTTTCTATTTCGTTTCTTGCCAACTTACTGCTCAATATATGACAGATGCAACGTGTAAATTCGAAAAACTAGAAAAATTAGGGAAACGTCAGAACGAATACATTGCGAACCCGGGAACGAAAGCAATCCAAGATTCAAACTTCCCACGCATTTCGCTCGCAACAGATCAATAGCGAGTCTGAGGTCCCCTTCAGGGTACTCTCTGAATTATCACTGGCAAACCAGTTCCATTCAGCAACGTTAGCGCTACTTCCTTAGAAACCCGCTCGTACGTACAATGTGGCAATATAGTTACGTATAGTTGCGGCAACAGACTCGGCTCAGCCTACTGCCTAACGAGCGTCTTTTGCACAAGTGTGTATGAAACGAACGTGCACCGTGAGATTCGCAGACGTAAAAATAGCTCTCGCCCTGTTGTTCCAAATCGAATTCAACTCGTCGATCGAACTCTGATCTCTTCTCCGTTCTTCTTCTCGTCGGATTCTCTGCCGCGCAATTTCCAGAGTCGATTGGTCAAACTGTACGTCGCACGGCGACAGCGGCGCCACGAAGCTGAACGAACAGCTGTTTCGAGCTGGTCTGCTGAAATTGCGATTGGCTCGTCCCCGCATGTCAGTCGTCGACGTTTCCACGGGAAGTCGACGGGACGAACGAGGGCGCCAGCCTTTCGTTCCCACGAAATTCGTATTCAAATTCTCTGGCCGGAAAGGGGCGCATGCGTGGCCGTTTCGCATTGACACGAGGAGGCCAGCCTGAATTTCACTCAGTTCTCTCGTGGCCAGTTTGAGAAGGGCTGCCACTAGAGAAGACGCGGTTTTGTTATTTTCGGTCTCGCGCCTGCGCTGCTTCTTCTTCTTCTTCTTCGTCTTCTTCTTCCCTTCAGCTGCGAGAAAACCCGTTTCACGAATCCCGGCGTGGAGGAATTTCTCCGATCACGAGAATGTCCTACTGCACTCGAATCCTTCGGGATCAGGTATGCATTGGATTGATTTACTTTCGACAACGACGCATACCAAAACATCGTCGAATCGGTGACGTGAATGGAAAATCGGTCTGCGTCTCTCGGTTTTGACCGCCCGACCCCGTTATCAAGGTCGATCGTGTCAAGTGGCAGGCCGTCGATCATCGATTCGAGCGTTGACGAAAATGCTGACATTTTCCTCTTCAACCGCCTCTTTGTAACGAGACGTAACGATCCCTCCCTAAGTAATGAGTAATTAATTATCTCCTCTCCCCCCCCTCCCTCCCCCCTTCTGTCTCTGTTTGCTCTTTTCGTTTCTTAACTGAAAATGATCGTTCGACGATGTTTTGTAACAATAGTTTCATTGACACGATCCTCGGAGGACGAGATCGATCGATCGGTAGCATTTCGGAGCAACGACGCATTTATTTGGAGCACCGTTTGGACGCCCCAGTTGCCGAAGATACTTCACGATAACAACGTAATGCGTACGAGTTATTAGAGAAACGAGACAAGCAGGAGGATAGACACGCCAAGTTACATAAGGCGTTTCGAAATTACTGCATATACATAACGGGTTCATTTTTCAAGGATTTCGAGGTTAGGTCCGTGCGGCCATTGTGCGCAAGGGTCAGAGGTGAACGGGAAATATGTGTATCACCGTCGGTAATTTGATCCTCTGCTATTTGTTAGAAAGCTGCCGCACATTATTGCACGATAAAAAAACGTGTATGCTAATTGATAACGAGTGTCTGCCGTCGAGCCAAAGATAAACATGTTGAACGTCTTTTTATCTATCTTCCAAAGAACAGTTTTTTTCCCACCTCGCAAAACAAGTTTTTCGTCCCTGCGAATAAAAGAATTACGTAACCGCGCGGTTCTATATAGATGAATCTGTTCGTACCGTTTCATCACGTGTACATCACTTCTACACTTGCGCGTAGACAACTTAGGGACATGGCAAAACGAAGATGTAGTTCAACCGACCCGCTATCGTGAAACATTTCTTTCAATCGTTTTTCAAAGTATCGCATTATTGAAAATGTAATTGCTCATTGGCTAAAAATAAAGTGACACTTATTATCACGACCGATGCTCAGCTCGTGTTATCTGCAACGAAGCGCTATTGTTATCAAGGAACGTTGACGATAACGTCGGCGTCGGAATTCCCGCGATTGTGTACACTGCTTAATTTGGAGTTACATTGCATCATGAATGATTTTCACCTGAATCGATTTAATTCGAGATTAATTTTTTTATCTTTTTCGAGTGTTATTCTCTCGTTTTCTTCTACTTCTTCTTCTTATTTAATTATTTAATTAAAACGTTCCAAGACACAACGATTGTTTCATATATATATATATTATATATTAATGATTAATTAATAAATTTCATTTGCAGAAACTCGCTGTTTTCGCGGCGGACATCCAGCAAAGATGTTTCAGCGTGAGCGCGTTGAGTTTCGCCGCCACGAAGGTGGCAATGTCGAAATTCGACAAGGACAATTACCTGCCGTACGACAAGTTGGAGGAGAAGCTTAGAACGGTGAAAAAGAGGCAAGTGTTGAACGCCTGCTCAATCGGAGCGCATCCAACTGTGTACATGTAAAATCGTTGCAGATTGAACCGGCCATTGACACTCTCCGAGAAAGTTTTGTACTCTCACCTCGATGAACCCAACAAGCAAGAAATTGTCCGTGGAACCAGCTACCTCAGGCTGCGACCAGATCGCGTCGCTATGCAGGATGCAACCGCTCAGATGGCCATGTTGCAGTTTATCAGCTCTGGTATTGCTCGAAACAATGTGTAGCCTTCTAGCTTTTCTTAGCGATTAATTCCTCAGTCTTTGCGATCTTCTCAATCTCAACGTCTGTTGTTGCGTCTGTTCTGATCTCTCGCTTTAAAGTTGCCATTTTCCCTTGGTAGGACTGCCAAAAGTCGCCGTGCCTTCCACGATTCACTGCGACCACTTGATCGAGGCGCAAGTGGGCGGCGAGAAAGACTTGAAGCGCGCAAAAGACATCAACAAGGAGGTGTACAACTTCCTGAAGACAGCCGGGGCTAAATACGGCGTCGGTTTTTGGAACCCGGGCTCCGGCATCATCCATCAGATCATCCTCGAGAACTACGCTTTCCCAGGCCTGTTGATGATCGGTACCGACTCTCACACGCCCAACGGCGGTGGTCTCGGCTGCCTTTGCATCGGCGTGGGTGGTGCCGACGCCGTGGACGTGATGGCCAACATACCGTGGGAATTGAAGTGTCCCAAAGTCATCGGCGTGAAGCTGACTGGAACGTTGAAGGGCTGGACCAGTCCCAAGGACATAATCCTGAAGGTCGCTGGTATACTGACGGTGAAGGGAGGAACCGGAGCGATCGTCGAGTACTTCGGCCCCGGCGTCGACAGCATCAGCTGCACTGGAATGGCCACCATTTGCAACATGGGCGCAGAAATTGGCGCCACCACCTCGATATTCCCCTACAATTTCCGTATGCAAGATTATCTGAGAGCCACCGGAAGAAGCGAGATTGCCAACGCCGCGGATCAGCACAGGAAAAGCCTGTTGACTGCCGACGCTAACGCTAAATACGACCAGATCATCGAACTGGACCTATCTACCTTGGAACCACACGTGAACGGGCCGTTCACGCCTGACCTCGCTCATCCTATCTCCAAGTTGGGTAAGTGAGATCGAATCTGCTTGAACAGATCTCGATAAATTGAAAAGATTTCTACTTGAGCATTTATACACGAATCGATGGAGTTTGCAATATCCACAATCTGCTGTAGGCGAGAACGCCAAGAAGAACGGCTGGCCGAACGAGATCAAGGTCGGCCTGATCGGTTCCTGCACAAACAGCTCTTACGAAGACATGGGCCGATGCGCAAACATCGCGAAGCAGGCCATCGACAACGGACTGAAGGCGAAATCCGCGTTCAACGTCACGCCAGGATCCGAGCAGATCCGTGCCACCATCGAACGCGACGGGATTGTAAGTCTTGCAAATTTCTGGAACAACGACTTTTGATGGAGTCCCATCGGACAGCGCTGTACCCGGAGCCGAAGTTTCTCAAAGTTTCTTTGGGTCCGTGCCAAATTGCGTTGGCACATGTCGCGCAGTAGCACAAGTAGTGACGAGTTAAGCGACCCACAAGCCAATTCTTAATTTGACTCCGATGCATTTTGACAATGTCAAGGAAAAAATAGAGACTCGTCGATTCACGTGACGGGGATGACAATGAAATCGATTTAGAACACGATTCACAACAGCTGAGAGGTGGTTCGCTAGTACGTTGTATAGCACAGAGGTCGAAAATACCGCGATGTCTTTTAAGATTAATTGTAATTGAAAAATATCAGAAATTATGCACTGAGAGGAAAATTTCAAAAACCTCACAGACACCATTCTGTGCAGAAATCATTCTAATATCTATACTGTTAATACTCAGTTTTCAAACCACCATAAAAGCGTCAAAAGGTAATTCGTTAGAATGTTGTATAGCAGAGGTCGAAAATACCGCGATGTCTTTTAAGATTAATTGTAATTGAAAAATATCAGAAATTATGCACTGAGATAGGAGGAAAACTTCAAAAATCTCACATACACCTGTGTAGAAATTATTCTAATATACTGTTAATACTCAGTTTTTAAACTACCATAAAAGCGTCAAAAAATAGTTTGTTAGAACGTTGTATAGCAAAGAGGTCGAAAATACCGCGATGTCTTTTAAGATTAATTGTAATCCTTTGAAAAATATCAGAAATTATGCACTGAGATAGGAGGAAAATTTGAAAAATCTCACATACACCATTCTGTGTAGAAATTATTCTAATATACTGTTAATACTCAGTTTTTAAACTACCATAAAAGCGTCAAAAAATAGTTTGTTAGAACGTTGTATAGCAAAGAGGTCGAAAATACCGCGAT